GGCTAGGCCAAGTAATAAATGAGCTCCAAGCCCAATCGCGAGGCTCGACCAAGTAATAAATGAGTGTCGAGCCCAATCTCGAGGTTCGGCCAAGTAATTAATGAGCACCGAGCTCAATCGTGAAACTCATATAGATAATGCACCACCGTAATTAGTGCGATAAATTGCACAGGCCAGGCTCGACAAAGGGGCCCGGTTAGGCCAAAGTCTCCTAACACTAAAAACCGAACTCCAAACTGAGTTCGGTCTAACAAAACACGCGACAAGGCGCTCTCGTTCATCATACATTCATCACATACATTCGTCATACATTCATAACATATATTCATCATACATTCACGCATTCTTCATATGATCGCATTATGAATAAAAACCCGTAACAAACAAAGAGCTCAAAGCTCACCCAGAAAAGAGCTCTAAGCTCACTCATGTCGACATAAACGGCACTATGCATAAAAAAATGTGTATCAAATTACCTGACCAGGCCGCTCAGGCCCCATCCAATAGCAAATTCGCGAAAATCGCGCATTCGGTCAAAAACGATTCCACTCGTCGAAGAACAAAGCGTTACTATCATAAATACGTTAGGCCAAAGCCTAAAATGATCAACAAAACGTCCAAGGGTCCCAAAACGCCCTAAATAATACAAAGAAACATCATTTTCATGGATTTTGTTCTTCATTTTAGTACGACAATTCGATTTAGTATTTAACCGTTGATCGTCCGATTTTTTACGTTCATCAATATAAAAGTGTTTTAATTATTTCAACAAATAAAATATTATTTGTGAATAAAATAAAAAGTAATTAGAACAATTGTAATTAAATAGGGAAAAAAAGTCTAAATTTTCTTAGAGAAGTATATTCAATATCTAGAAGCAAGTCTTTCAAAATTACTATATTTTTGTCACTAGCATTTAATATATGGAATCTGTAAGATATTGATTGTCATAAATAATGACCTTAATCATCGATTTCAAATTATAAATAATTAAAAATTATAAACTTTGTAATAAATAATGTAGATTTTTATAATCACTTCTTAATAATAAAGTTCACAAATTACTAAGAGTATCATAATATAGTATAATTCTAATTCTTGTCATCTCAAATATTTTTACAAATGATATGGTTCTCAATATTATTTATTTATTTATTTATTTATTTTTACTGTTGAAGAATCAAGAAAGTATCATTATCTTGAATTTTGAAAACATATGTATGATGCTAGAAGTTGACAATAAAAGTGTTATAGAATTATTAGTCACATAAATATTGCAAATTCAAACGAATGTGAATTTTTTTTGGCAAACTCTAAAATCATTGTAACAACCAAGATGATCAATGATTTGTAAATAAGTTGAAGAAAGCGGCGCTAGTGGCTACCGTGTACTTCATTTGCAATGCGAGGAATATGTTTTGATTTTCAAAAATGAAAATAATCCCCCGAGCCTTGTATTGCACCATGTTTGCGCTATACCCGAATGTCCTAGCCAAGTTTGAGAGGCGAATCATTGGACTTTGAGAATCCTTTTCTTTGCATTTGGAGCTTGAGAGTTGTCCAGCACGCATGTGCCGATGCGGAGACCCTCTCGCCGACCGTAGCGCCGAGTTTCCATACACTCTCTTTGCTTTTCATTGACATTTGAGTGAGCAACCAACCCGTAGTTGTCCTCCTGGTCTTTTTTCTAGTGAATGAGGAGTCGAGCTTGTGGTTGCCTATTGTGTTATGCCGTCTTACAGTCGTTTGAACCTCATATTTAATCTATAAATTTACATTTACCGATAAAACAAAAAAGATTTGTATACTATAGATAAGTCATTTACTCACAAAAATTAATCAATCTATTTTACTAAACATAATCGACCGTAAGCATTCACCACCACATACATCGTATGTTTATTTTTCTAGTATATATAAAATAAATAAGTCCTTTACTCACTACATTAATTGCTTTAGGCTTCACGTTGCTACTCCAGACCCCAAAGTTAGGACAGGTATGAAAAAATTTCTATGACATGAGAATGATAGAATATAAATAGATTTGATAATTCTTAGAAAAAATGTTGTTTAAATTTGAAACAAAAAACTAACTTTGATTTATATCATTATTTGTTTACATTATGTTTTATTGCAGCAATTTCCTTTCCACAACTTCCACATAGTACACCTGTCAGTGGGACAATACAAACAACATGAAAACATAAATCTCACACCACGCTTTTTCCTCACAATATTAGGCGTCAGCTCCAACTTTCTTTCTCATGCTGCAGGAGTTGCAGGATAATGAGTTAGATTGAGGCGAAGAATATAAGGAGAGACTAAAGAACCACAGTACAAAAACTCTCCAATCTTAACACCGGTTGTTGTAAGAAAGAGTTCCCGATCATAATAGTGTGTGGTTGGTTTTCCATCCAAATCAACAGCAATAACCCCTCCACCTTTCTCGGTTCTCGGCCGTCGTCCTATGTATCTTTCCATAATAGCAATCACCTTCCGAATGAAGGGATGTCTTTGTAATAACACCCAAAAATATGCTTCCTGCATGTATAAAACTAACACAACCATAGCATCATAGTGTAAATATACAAAATTGTATATGCAAACAATATAATAGTTGCTCGAAAAATATGATATTTTTTGACTTCTGATTACAAGAGTATGAATATCTGTTTTAAGTGTGACAATAAATTCACATGAGACCATCAAAGTAATACCTACTAAATTCATTGAGTTATTGTACCACTTCTAAATTAGAATTCAGTTTGACACTAGATGATAACGCGTGTTACCGTGGTCAACGCAATCCAATACTGGCCTTCACCATCGTATTTTATGTTGTCAGGTAATCCAGGTAAGTTGTCGATAAATATATCTACAGATCCTCTTCTTGGACCTTGTATGTAGTATTTTTTGCACCTCCTCCTACAAATTGATCGGCAAAACAAAATCAAGTATTAATGCATAAAAAAAATACATATATATATATTCATTCATCAAACTGGTTTGAGAGGGTAAAAAAACAAAAACAACAGAAAAAGAAAGGAAAAAAAGGCTCACATTGATGTTTCACAGAAAATAACAAAACTCTGATCTGCAGAGACGGTAACACCATTGGCAAAGTATAAATCTTTTACAAGGACTTGTGTTCGTTTTGTCGATGGATCGTAACTCAAAAGTCTGCCGTTGGGTCTGCCTTCTAAAAGATCGAGAATATGCTCCTTAAAACCGTATCTGAACGAAGCATCAGTGAAATAGATAACGCCGTCAGGACCAATATCAGCAGCATCAGTTAGCTTAAAACTAAGACCCTCAGCCTCATCTGTCAGCAATTCAACTACCCCATCTCTGCTTATGTTCAGTAGCCCCTGCCACCTCAGCAAATGAAGTTTGTTTTAAATGATTTTCACACACTTTCAACATCACAAGTGTTTTGGTAAAGATTGAAGGGATCCTTCCAACATCAAATCATTCTGGGATAGAGTTTAAGTCATTATTAGAACCACAAACCAAAAACAAAAACCAAACTTGTTTGCAGTATGTGCTGTCACCATTAAAGATAGGCTTCTGATCTTAACCTGGGTAGGGATATATATACATATAATCAGATATGAAAGTCAGGCAACATACACGGTGAACCGTGAAGGCCGTGAACGATTGAAGTTGAGAAATCCAGCTTCAATTTGATACCAAATACACGGTGAACAAAGAAAAATTACCCAATTCACCACATACTTATAACCTAATAACTGCACGTTTCATCAAACTTCATCTACAAGAACGAATTCACCTTATCAGCGTCGGCAACGATGACTTCACCGTGAAGGCCATGAACGATTCCGAGCGGGCGGCCGCCTGTGTTGACCCACTTGTCGACGGCTGAACCGTCGGGACTAACTCGGCTGAGCCACCCATCTTGGCAACCGGTGTATATAAGGCCAGTCTTGGGATCGAAAGCAATGTCCTCCGGCGCCGTCAATTGACCGTACCCAATCTTTTCGGCTCCCCGCAGCATGTGTGTGTTTCGTTTGGGCACGAACAAAGGCGGTCCATTGCCCAGATCCGGATACGGAGCCGGGTCGAATCGATCCAGCTGGTAGACAAGCACCGCGGCAGCAACTACTGCTATCGAGATCATCCCTCCCGCTATCCACGCCATGGCGGCAACCTCAAAGTTTTGGCAGGTGACTGGTTTACACTTCTTCTAGACTCCGTTTGGTCACACGTCATCATGATTTGACCCTCCTTCACTTGACTTGTTCCTTCTGGTTCACCAATTTTTCGTACTCTTTTTTCATTATCCTTTTTTTTTTTTTAACATAGTAATAGGATTGAATACATTTATAATGTCATTTAATACATATATATTATGAATAATAATTTATTTATTTTTTTGGTTCTACATACAACTAGTAATTCGTTAGGTACACATGCACAAATTTTGCAAAGAAATAAAAATAATATAAACGGCTATGAAACGTGAGTATACTACATAGAGTGCGCTCAACTCTGTTACAATACGGAATGATTATATTTTTTTCAAAATGCCAATCAGAATTGAAAGTAGATTTTAAGGTCAGTGTAGATAATAAACACAAGTATTTACTCCACTTTGTAACCCAAATCTTTTTTCTGGTCATGATTAACTACATCAACCTTCAGTTTATGTTCTTTCAGAGGCACACCATGTGGGCTCTATTCATGTATTCGCATGTATAAATATCGTTGTGCATTCTATAACACCTAAGGTGAATGTGACTAAGATACCACAATAGTGACAAGTAGGTGCAAAGTTTTTACCAGAGTTCTTACGTTGCATTGTAACAAAGTTTGTCTTATCTTTTCTTACTATTGATACTTATCCCTTCTTTAACAATGGTAGGTCAGACTTACTCCAAGATGGTCTTGGTTAATCAACCTTACCTTTTAGCTTTGTGAGTGTTCTTACTTTGATCTGAAGTGTCGATTTGTAAAACCCGCTTATTTATTTTAAGAAAAGACAATAATTTTTATTTTATTTTTTAAATAAGATGAACTTTTAGAAAACATTTTCCAAAACTAACCTTCGGGCATTACTCAGAAAACTCTTTTCTTTTCAACCAATCGAGAATATATTAAACATATTAAAACAATCACATAATTTGAAATAGTTTAAGTCTGACACATTCCAACTACAAACATTCTTATAAACATTTTTCGAAAACGTAAAAACATAAGTGAGTAATGACCACGCCCGTCCTCTCGCGTCCGCTGCCAGCTGATTAACCTAAAAAGCAAAGAGGTGAGCACATCGTCTAGGCTCAGTGGTAAAATTCATACTATGCATCGATTCAACACAAACACAGATAGGATAATAATCATATGAACATGTAAAGCTTACTGTCTCACTGTTGACTTATAACATCCGACTTTAGGCCCCCAGGTAGACCCGGCTAATTTACTATTATTTCAAGCCTCCATAATTTATCCCGCTAATTAGCTATTATACACCGTTAACCTATGTTCATGAACGTCGATATGGTCACTTACTAGTTCATTCGGCATCCGCCCGATCCCGCTAATAAGTAACTCTACTAGTGCATACGACATCAACCGATCCCACTAGTAGAAAACTTAACCGTTTACTCACTGATAATTACCCGGCTTATGGACCTTTATTTCAAGCCTCCAGGTAAATTCTCATAAATAACATTCGGCATACCGACCCACAATCACATTCATCACATACATATAAAAATTATATTGCCACATGTTTATACAGAATAGACCATAGTATAGAACCCCCACCTATTAACTGATGAAGTGAGGTGAAAGTGCAAATGAAGAGTAGCTAATGTTACTCGGAACAACTCTCGAGATTCGACTCCTCAAAATCTACGTTTTAAATACTTTTATCTTATTAATAAGGGTGGACAGACAAAGACATGCAAAAAAAGGTAAGAACAAGTAAGGTCAAGCAAGGACAATTAAACACATGAGGCATATATGGAAAACAAGGAAATTAAGGCAATTAAGACAATTAAAAGAAAATAGAGCACATAAATTTCTAACTCTTCTGCAAAGAATTCTATATTGCAGTGGAGTACAGGTTACAAGAAGAATTTAGTACTGGGGAATCTTTGTCTATATGAGTTCCGACAAATCACTTCGAGAAGCTCAAAGAGGTCTCTTGGAAATTGATAGAAGCGGTTAAGGTGATAGTTGGTTCATTATTGGTGACTGGAACGACATCTGCATAAAGGAGGACAAAAAAGGAGGCAAACCTCGAGGTCTAAGAAGCTGCTTGGAGTTTAACAACTTTATATCTAGAATGGAAATGGAAGAGGTGCTCATGCTTAGCTATCAATTCACCTTGGCAAACAACAGGGAGGGTTTTGTAGAAGAAAAGTTGGACAGAGCTTTCGCATCCTCTGTCTGGTTAGAAGCCCACCAGAAAGCAACATTGTCAAGTGAGCTAAGGGGAGCCTAAGACCATTCCATCATTCTGTTGGACAGAGGGCAGAGGCAGCCAAGATTGAAAAGAAGATCCATTTTTTATAAGCGGTGGCTATTAATGGCAGGCATAAAGGAGGTTTTAGAGGCATCTTGGGGTTCACCTCAGAGAGGAACCGTTTTTTCCAGCTCAAGGAAAAATGTTAAGATGACAAGGGCCTTACTGAGGTGAAGCTCTCAATTCAAAAGCCAAAACCAAAGCAAAATTGAAGGGTTATCTATGAGGCTTCAGGAGTAAAGAGATGAAGGTAGAAAAAACAATTTGGAGGAGTGGGAAAGAGTAAGGAAAGAGTTGGATGAAGCTCACTACATTGAAGAACAATACTAGAAACAAAAAGCAAAAATGCTTTAGTAGAAAAATAGGGAATGCCAACACTAAGTTCTTCCATGCCTACACAAGGCAAAGAAAGAAACTGAATTCCATTTCCAGGTTGCTTGATAATGAGAACAAGGTGTGACAATCCCAAGCTGATATCGAAAACCACATCTCAGATTATTTTGATTCCCTTTTTAGCTCAGAGGGGTCTTGGGGAGGTGAAGCTCTTCTGCAATTAATTCCACAATCTATCACAAAAGACATGAATCAAGAGCTGCTGAAACCTATAGAAGAAGAGGAGATCAAGGAAGAACTTTTTAGTTTACCTGCAGAGAAATCCCTCGGGGAGGATGGTATGAATGCTCTATTCTTCCAACATTTTTAGGAATTGGTTAAATCTGACTTGGTTGAAGCTATTAAGATTTTATTTGATACTGGGCTTTTATTTCAATATTGGAACCACACTTTGGTCGCTTTAGTGACAAATGTAAAAATCCTGATTATTTAAGCCAATATAGGCCTATAAGCCTATGCAGTATGGTTTATAAGATTCTATCTAAAATTTTTGCATTAAGAATGAAAGTCTTGTCTGGATTTTTGCATTAATGTCAACAATCAACATTTCTCAAGGGCGGACAACTTTTAGACAATGTGATTATTACACAAGAAGTATTTCATTACCTGAGTAGACATAGCACAGGGAAAAATTGCCTTATGGTTTTGAAATTAGACCCCATGAAAGCCTTTGATAGACTAGAATTGAGGAGTTTGCTAAAAATTATAATCAAAATGGGGTTTATGTTGAAATTTGTGCAACTAATTATAGTTTGTCTGACTACTACCTCATTGTATTTTAATGTTAATGGATCTGTTGGTGGCTTTGTGCATCCTAATAGAGGAATTAGACAAGGGTATCCACTTTTCCCTTATCTATTTGTTGGTGAAATCGGATTCACCAGGGCTCTTTCAACTCGAACGACCTCCGTACCTGCAAGAACCCAACGCCGAGAGGGGTCCCTGCATTAGGCCTCCAATGCCTAAGTGAATATCACTTCAAAACTACAAATCCCAAGATTATAATTATGAATGTAGAGAGAGTGTGTTAATGAGATACCTTAGCCCACTTTTATAGGGGAGTGTACTTTATGGTCCAAGTTGGGATTGTCCAATACCATCATGACACGTGTCCTAGCCCATGTGTATGCTTATTTTTCAATATATTCCTTTTTATCCGTTAAAGCCAGTCTAGTATAATATTCTATATCATCTAGTCCCCCCACTCTGGTCGAGTAAGCTTGACTCGATCCCAAAGTGAAATGCCTTTTCGGGTTGTTTCCATCAACCTGCCACTGAGGTTATACATTGAAAAAATTATCGACCACCAAATAGTCAGTAAACCTCCAAATGAGCATCGAGACTCAAATAAACACCGAACGACCGCTAAGGTCGAAAATTGAGTGACCCGCCACTGGGGTCGAACAACAAGAACCGAATAACCACTGAGGTCGAATATCGAGTGACCCGCCACTGAGGTCAAACACCAAAGCGAACGATTACTGAGGTCAAAAATCAATTGACCTGCCACTAGGGTCGAACACCAAAAACTAAATTACTACTAAGGTCGATATCGAGTGAACTGCCACTGGGGTCGAACAACAAGAATCGAATGACCACTGAGGGCGAATATCGAGTGACCCGCAACTGGGGTCGAACACCGAAGATCGAATGACCCCTGAGGTCGAAAAAGAACACCAAAACTGAAAGACCACTGAGGTCGAAAATCGAGTGACCCGCCACTGAGGTCGAACACCAAAAACCAAACGACCACTGAGGTCGAAAATCGAGTGACCTGCCACTAGGGTCGAACATCGAAGACCAAACGACCACTGAGGTCGAAAATCAAGTGACCCTCCACTGGGCTCGAACACCAAAACCAAACGACCACTGAGGTTAAAAATCGAGTGGCCCGCTATTGGGGCCGAACCCCGAAGCCTGAATGATCACTAAGGTTGAAAATCGAGTGACCCGCCACTTGGGTCGAACACCAAAAACCGAATAAGAACTGACGTCGAAAATCAAGTGACCCGTCACTTGGGCCGAACCATTTTCAATAGTAGATTCCATTGCTCTTCATTTTGCAATGTCGACCTTCATTTGATATCTCTCAACCTGCTTACTTGGACTTCCATGATACTTTGATAGATTTTCTCGATCTTTCTCCGAATCTTGAATTTGAAAATTTGAACTCACGTTTGTTGCTTCTCGACCACCATGTTCGAGCTCTCTGCACTCAGAGATAAACCTTTTCGACCACCTCGTCTTATCGCCCCTCAGTTCAAAATTTAAAATTC